GTCCTCCCTTTATTTCTGTTGGTAACCCCTTGCAACCAGCCTACTCTTGTAAATTGATACTGCCCCTTTGTTGTCAGTTTTGATCCTGGGAATCCAGCCACAATTTATGGCTTTCTTCCCCAATGGCAGTGGCACCAGCTCCCATGTCCCATTCTCCATTTGACTGTTATATTCAGCATCTCGTGACACTAGCCACTTGTCCCTATCTGGTCCGTTAAGGGCCTCCTCCATGGTTAGTGGCTGAGTCGGTGCAGGTGCCATGAAACAGTATACCTCCTCCTGAGCTTCCTCATCAGAATCACAGGTGCTCTCCAGCACCAACAGTGCATCAAGTTGCTGCTGCTCACTCCTTGTTCCTCCTTCACCCCTTGCCTTCGCCTTCAAGGCGGCAGCTCGCATCTGCCGCATCATCATAGGTGAGAAGGTTCGTCCTGTGGGTTGGGGTTTGGTTTGGGTTCTCCTTTGGGGGAGAGTGGGGGGAATGACACGTGTTATGAGATGGGGTTCTGCAGGGTCAGCCGTTGGCTCCACACTTTTAACCACGGGGAGTTCTGCTGTACCCCCTTCCTCGTGTGCTGTTGCAGTCTCTTCCTCAACCCACTGCTCCTCCACCTCAAATCCCATGGTTGCCTGCTGCAGTTGCTGCACAATCTGCTCCTTTGGTTGCTTAGACCAGCTCCCGTAGGTGATGTCTTCCACGAACTTTACATCCCTACTGTCGAATACGACTCCCTTGCTCGGCTCCCATAGCAGCCACCCCTTGCTTTCTGCTGCTAAACCCAAATGCACACACCACACAGCCGTTGCACCCAACTTGTTGCGATGTGCTTTGGGGATATGTGCCACAGCCATGCAGCCAAACACACGCAGCATGTCAATGGGCGGCTTCCTCCTAAGCCACCTCTCCATGGGGACCCATGACTCACCACCGACGTTGGTGAACACCCTGTTCTTCACCACTGTGGCGTGGCGCACAGCATGTGGCCACTTAGAGTTCCCCAAACCTGACTCAATGAGAAGAGCCCGTGCTGTCTCCAAGACCGTGCGGTTTGTCGTTCTGCTACGCCGTTCGATTGCGGTGTGTAGGAGGTGGTGAGCTCCCGAATGATTCCCTGCTTCTTCAGCCATGCATTCAGCTCCTCCCCTAAGAACTCCCCACCCCTATCAGTCCTGATCCGCATCACCTTGTGATCAGATTGCTTCTCCACCAACGGCAGCCACTCATCTCGGATGATGGACGGCACTTGGTCCTTCTTCTTGATGGGGTATGCCCATGTCACTCGGCTCCAATCGTCCACGATGGTGAGGAAGAACTTCTGACCACGCTCCCCCACCACTGGCAGCGGCCCCACCACGTCCATGTGCACTAACTCAAGCAGTTTCTTGCCGCCACCCTCGGTTGCATGGAATGGGAACCGAGTGAACTTGCTCAATAGGCAAGTTTCACACTTGTGGGTTGCTGCTGCACCTGTCAGCTTCAGCCCCTTAACCCCTTCATCCTTGTGCAGTTGCTGTAGTGCGGGCATAGCAATGTGCCCGAGGCGACGGTGGGCTGTCATCCAGTCCGTTTCACCTCCCCTTGCTGAAACCTTCAGCTCCTCTGCAACTACAGCATTGCACTCCCCCTGGAAGCCATTCCCCTTATCCCAGGGCACCACTGGCAGCTGCCACATGGACTTGCATATGTCCTTATCCTCATGCAGGTCCCAAAGCATCCGCTTTCCCAGCTGCCCTTTGAACGTTTTGGCACCCTCGGTACTTGTGCTCACCGCGCACTTGCCTAACTTCCTCAGGGAGATGAGGTTTGCCTTCAAATCAGGTACCAGCAGCACATCACTTAGCACCACCGGTTTGCCGTCAGCTCCCTTGAATGCAGCGCGCCCCGCCCCCGTCACCTTGAGCGCATGCCCGGAAGCCGACTTCACTTTAGCAATCGTGTTGCCCCCACATTGTCCAGGAGATCAGCCCTTGGCGTCATAGTCCATGCTGCTCCTGTGTCCAAGATCCACGTGTTGAGCGGGTGCAGCTCGGCTCCAGCATGGGCGATTACTGCGACCTCATCCGGCTCACCAACGTGGAAGAACTGACCGGCTTCCCTCTCCTCTTGTTCAGCCGGTTCATCATCGGCAACCGCTCCGGCGCCGCTCCCATCTTGAGTCCTGTTGGAGGGGGTCCACCAGGTGGGTTTGGTCCTGCATTTAAACCACGGGTGACCCACTTTCTCACAATACCAACACTTGCCTTCCATTCTCCCAGGTCCCCTTCCACCACCTCTGCCACCTCGGCCTCCACCACGTCCTGCTCCTCTACCACCTTGCTGTTTAGAAGTCTCCTCATCCTTTGAAGCTCCTCTCCCAGTCCCTTGCCATTTCTTGCCTCTACCCCTCTTACCACCTTGCATTGCATAGCTGCTGCTTCCTTCCTCTCCTCCCCTCAACTAACGCCTCCGGAAGTCTTCCTCAAGTATCTTAGTCCGAATCCACTCCAGGGTCTAGAGGCTTTGGTTTTGGGGAAGGCTAAGGCCGCTGGTGAAGACCATCCAAGATTCCGGCAGCAGTGACAGCATCTTCACACATTTTGTTGACTCGGGGTAGGTAATGCCGGCAATAGCTAGCTTGGCGTAGAGGTCCCTAAGCTTATCTAGGACGGGTTGAACAGGATCTCCTTCACTGAGGCGCAGGGTGGAGAGCTCTCTCTCTAACATGAGAGTGGCAACAACTGAGGTAGGTGCATGAAGATCCTTGAGCACGGTCCACTCCTTTGGTTTGCACTCATCCTCTAGAAGTAGGTGCATGATATGCTGGCGTTGAGCAAGATCTAAGCTCTAAGAAAGGATGTAATATCCAGCTGAAGAACGTTCGTCCCAATCGCCTTGAAGTTCCGGATTCCTAGGGCGTTTCGGAGTGGCGAGGATCTTGTACAGCGGTGGTAGTGGAGTTCGTGACGGTGGACAAAAGATGCCCTACGCACCAATCAGTGCGCAGGGAGAGTGTGAGTTGGAGCATACACCGAGGGAAAGAACGCGCCGCAGGGCGGGTGAAACATCCAGCTCTACGAGGGAAACATCGGGCCGCAGGGCGGCGGTACAGGTACAATGTATGAACCACAGCTAGTCCTGGATGTTGGCGTGCAGGTAGATTTTGCTCTGAGTCGGAACTCGTTTGTACTCTGAAATCATCAGAGTACACTCCCGGAAAACTCTGAAACGTCAGAGTCAGCCAATATAAAATTCTGGTTTTCACAGAGTTGATAGAATGAAAAATCTGAATTTTACAGAGTGCACCGAAAATAAAATCTGAAATCTCAGACTAAAACAAGCGAATCAGACAAAAAACTCTGACTTCTGGGGGCCTGCCGTAGAATCTGCTGAGATTTCCCCCCTCCCACAATCTCGCTATCGCCACGCTGGCGAATCTTCCGCTGCAAGTGGCCCAAGAGGTGAAAATCGCCTTCTCACATGAGGCATAGACACGTGACCATGTTAACAGCTATAACGTTATGCGGAAGCGATTAATGCTTGAAATACAAACTTTGCTTGGCAACACTTAACTTCACTTGGAGCCCTTCGAGTGTGACAGCTTGTCACCTCCTAGCCAAGGGCGTGAAAATAGCAAGTGAGTAGTTATGCCTTGCTCAGCTTGTAGGACGAGCAAACTGGTCGAGGAGAATTTCGGCAGCACCAAAATAGTCTTTCTACTCTCGTCAATACGAGGTAGTAGAATTGCGAGCTTGAAAAAACGCGAATGCATTAGATTAATTTTGACAGGTACAAGCACACATTTATATAGATTCTACGCACAGGCAAGAGCAACTAGAAAACAGTTGTTTAACTAGCTCGCAGGATTTCGCCACGCTGTATGTTGAAAACGGTTGCACAACTCCTTGAGCATTTGGCTATATCCTCCTGTTGTTAAAAACTGTCTTCAAATTGCACTTGTAACAATCGCCCCTGCTGACTCAAATGTGTACACTCATGAGACTCGCATGTTGCTCCAATGTAAACTGGTTCGAGGTCAAAGCGAAGTAGTCCGTGTCGAACTGGTGAGTGAATTGCCTGGTTCCAAGTTCATTTTATCGGGTAGGGGTCGAACTGGCCAGGTTCAATTCAAGAGGAAAGATGAAGATTCAGGCTAGAATTTTGGGTCGGGGTCCATTGCCATGATATCTTACAGCCACACAGCCGTAGTGTCAAGATGGCGGTGTAGAGGTCGTTAAGCTTGTTTGCTGTGGATGTGACTGAATTTATCATCTTGCGCAGATGATTCATCCAGCCTTAACCTCGACTTGCCAGGATTCATCGAATGACGCAATGGTGCTTGCTGGTCCTTCCTGGACCGTAAGCAAACCAGAGTATTTGTATGGATTTTTTTTAGGCCCCTTCTTACACAGTAGCTACTCCATCTTCATTGAATGACGCCATGGTGCTTGATGGTCCTTCCGGGACGATGTGTAGGTGGTTGGGGATCCCAGGCCCCTTCTTCTCTTACATAGCAGCTACTTCATGTTCTCTTTCTCTTCCACCAACTCTCAAATTCATTTACAGGACCAAATGATAAGGATGACAGTTCAGCAGCAGAAGGGGAGGCCGCAGCAGCTGCAGCAGCTGCCGCAGCTGTGCTACCACTAGCAGCAGCACAAGGGAGGCGGGGTGATGGTGTTGTGGTGGAGATGGAGGCAGCACGACCATATGTGTGTCGAGAATACTCTCTGGCAGAGCTTGCCAAGGCCACCGGAGAGTGGGCAGAGGGGAACAGGATAGGAAGTGGCAGCTTTGGGGATGTTTACAAGGGTGTGTCACCCCGTGATTGCAATCAAGCCTGGGCAGTCAAACGAGCTCGAGTGCTCACCAACGACTTTCAAAGAGAGGTATCATGGTGTGACTTTCTGTTGATATGTTAGTGACACGTGTTATTTTCTTCTACCAACTCTAGGCATATCTGGTGGTCCCATGATTCAATCTCCTTTGAGCTGTTCACTATTTTCCCTCTCAGGTGAAAGAGATGGCAAGCAAGCACCATCCACATCTCGTGCGCCTGTTGGGCTATTGTATCGACTTCGACCTCTCCACCCGACTCATAGAGCAGATCCTCGTTTACGAGTTCATGCCCAACAACGACCTTGAGAGCTGGATTGGTCCTGGCGTCCCCCACCCTCTTTCGCTTCATCAAAGGCTTGACGTTCTGATTGGGGTGGCAAAGGGGTTGCAGTACCTTCATGACTTTTGCATTGTGCATCGTGACATCAAGCCCGCCAACATCCTCCTCGATGCAAAGATGCAGGCAAATATAGTTCTAAGACTGCCTGTACAAGGTGGAAGATGCCTACTCTTTTCCATCCGTCTGTAACTGTTGGGTTGTGTTTAGAATCGCCTAGCATTCTTTTCATCTTGCAAATTAGTGCTGTTGTTGTCCATGGGCTGGCCAAGATTGCAGACTTCGGGCTCGTAAAGCTTGGTGGGGGCACCGTTATGGGCACGTCTGTGGCTGCCACACGAGTGATGGGAACACCGGGCTATGTGGACCCTGCCTATTTCAAGTCTCACAAGGCCACTCCAGCAGCAGATGTGCACAGGTGAGCAGATTTGCGCAGGTGAGCAGAGCTGGTTAGGCTAGCAAAATCCAAGCAAGTTAGCATAATGGCATGAGAAAAAAGTGAAGGTCAGCAGATGAGCACACTGGCATGAGAGTACTATTCAAGAAGGTTTCCAGAGTTGAAGAGACATGTTTTTGAGTTTCCGTTTCTTGCATGGGAGGTAAAGTTTGGGTTAAGGGCTTGCAGTGCATTCTATGTTTCCTTTGTCTCACACTCAAAGAAAGTCCATGCCTGACATTAAAGCCATTTCCAGGCGTTTTTACCAATCAAGTAGGTTGTTGATGCTCGGTGATGGGGCTTGGGTGACGATCACTTGTGGAATGATTGGGAAACAATTTCAGTGTCATTGTAAAGCTTTTGTACATCTCAGCATGATTTCAAGTATGATGCCTTTGTTTATTGCTGGGTTGCAGTTTTGGCGTGGTAATGCTGGTGGTTATCACGGCGCGCAAGGCTGTGCATGTAACAGAGGACAACCGGATCAATCTCAAACAATGGGTGAGATGCAATGAACAGTATCATAACAAGGCTGGCAGATCTTGCAACACAAGAAAGCCAGCTGCACTACGAAGTGATTTTGCTTGCTAATATCCCCTTTTCAATGCTTTTTCTTGCCCTTGGCCAAAAAGATGTAGGGAAATTCATGTTATCTTTGCCTCCGTTCCCAACAGGATACATTCTGCAATGATCAAGACAAAGTTTAACAAAGACGAGAACTGAACTTTGCCTCACCTTGTATATGTGATAGGATCCACCTTCCTATCACCCTGCTTTCTATGTAGCTCTAATTTCGTGCTTTCTATCGTTCCATCCATCTCTGCATTGCCACATTTCTAGTGAACACAGAAGTGGGTTTTCTCTTAATGTAAAACTCTGAACATTTTCAATCACCACGTTTCATGTGGTATGTGCATTAAACCTCACAGGTGGCCCCGTTGGTGGACTCCGGTGCTGTATTGGCGTTCAAGGACCCCTACTTGGACGCACCAGATGACTTGGTGCTGCGCTGGGCTCGCCTTGCCCTCTCCTGCACCGCCATGCCTGTGGCCTCCCGTCCCTCCATGAATGAAGTGCTGGGGGAGCTGGTGAAGTTGAAGCGGGAAGTGATCGGAGCACATGTGGGCGACGCAATATCTTGCATCGACATGGAAATTGAGAGTTCCATTGGCTCCTCCGGCTTTACTGCTGAATTAGCCCGTGCGGAGCGAGAGGCCATGCCAACTGGCTCTCTTGTTGAATAGACGTTGCTTTTACTTGCATCTCGCTGGTTCGCCCTGAGCGTCTAATGCCGATGGTTTTTTCCCATTTAAAACATTTATGGGGTGATGAGAAGCATTGATAGTGGTTTGGGAAGGGATATTGGTAGCATTTTCTAGTGAACACAGAAGTGGGACACGACAATTGGGTTGTGAAGCAAAATATAAGCAGTAACCACAGATTTGGCTAGTGCATGGGCACATATTCTGTGCTTGTCACCTTTTTATGAATCTCCTACTTGTATACGTGAAATTTTCTAAATTATTGATTATGTTCACCACCATCGACGGACTTCTCGATAGAAAAAAAATATATTCCTTTTCCGTGGCAGCACCAGACATCACGTTTGTGACACACTACACTCTCAAGAAAAAGCCAGCACTATCTAACTTGCAACGCACTACCCTTGCGCATCCAAAGCATTGGATATCATACTCTCCTCTTATCCCATATTTCCTACTCCTCATACTCCCCTCCATACCCCCACCCCCTTCCCCAATTATCTCATACCCTGTACCACCCTTCGTACCCCCGAGTTCTGTCACACCCCCCACTCCTTCCGTGCCCAGCACTCCTCTCATACCCCCAACTCCTCCAATACCCCTGAATCCTCTCATTCAACTCATTTCTCTCATAATCTCTCTTCTTTCATACCCCCACTCCTCGCATACCTCCACCCCTCTCATACCCACCGCTCCTCTTATGTCCCCAGTCCACTCATGCCCTCATTCCTCCTATTCTCCCCACTCCTCTCATTTTCCCCACTCCGCTCATTCACCCCAATCCTCTCATTCGTAACCCCACCCCTCAGTTACCTCCACTCCTCTCATACCCCTCACTCTTCTCACACCTCCTTCTCGTCTCATACCCCCCACTCCTCTCACAACCCCCAACCCCTCACCCCATGATCCCACACCATCTCGTTGCTCATTTTCTCCCATTCTGTGGAACTCCCCAGGCTGCTCAAAACATGCATGATTGGTGGTGGAATACTATGCCCATTCACCAACCTTACATGCAATCGATGCCATCCAGCAAACGTTTTTCTCAAGTCGACCGCCTTTGAAAAGGTAGGCCTGGCAGCCACTTTTCTGCAGGTGGCTCTGCTGTTACTCTGTCTGCTCTTGGCAACTTGGCAACATCAGCTCCCATTGTCGCTGCTTCTTCTTTGGCCTTTCTACATTAGCACATGGCGCGGTGTGCCACCCACCCAGGCATCTGCCACGCCGTGATAATCCAAGGAGACGCTGCTGATTCTTCTCCTGCTGTCCGCCCTTAAGTTCCTGCTGTCGCTGCATCAGCAACAACAAGAAGCCTCTCCTCTCCATGCCTCCAACACACCCCACGGGTCTGCTCCTTCACTGAGCTCGTGCAACATCTTCGTCCCTGGTGTGGATTTTCATCCCACACACTACTCACACCTCTGCCATGCCTTGCCATGTTAAGCAGCTGTATTCCTTCTGCGATGCCTTTCAGTTGTTCTGCTCCTGCTTTTGATTGTTGTGCTTCTGAGATTGGTTGTTCTTCTCCTGCTTTCTACCCCGTGCCTTGTGACCCTACATTTGCCTCAGCGGCCGCAGCAAGCTACTGCTCATTCACTCTCTTAAGATGCCTTTGCTTCCACACGGGCCTCTGCCATGCATTGGCCAAACCACGTAAGTTCTGCCCTTTGCAGTCTTGGCTCTGGGATAGAAATGTATTGTGGTTGCAGAAACCGTACGCTTATGTCATTGTTGTGGAACCAGGCTGTTACGATTTTGCAATTCTTGTAGTGGTCATTGTCAAGTAAGTCCGTTGTTGCAAGAAGTTAGAAAACTTCGTGCCAATGAATAATTGCGTGATGCTGGATGGACATGTTCTACGCTATAACACCTGACACACCATAAAAAGGAAAAAAAAAAAGAAAAATTGCTGAACTATGAGCCGCTACTCTTTTGCAAAGAATCAGCAGACTTCTGTTCAACAGTGGAATGATGTATGACACTTGGAAATCTTTGTGGAAGAACGTGCAGTCACTCTTGGGGAGCAGCAGCAGCAGTCTTCCTTTCAAGATAAAAAATCCACAGCGTCGCTTGAAGAAAGCTCCTCGTTGTTGCGGAGGGCCCAGAGGAGGCGGAGCACACTGCCTGCCAAATATACCGCCAAGGGCCCAGAGGGAGACGTGATAAGAGTGGTCATATTGGCCTTGCGCCTGCTGAATAGGCCCTGCAAAGAGGGAGAGCAGGCAAGGCAGGGAAGGTAGGGAATGCAGGGAAGGGAAGGTGGGATGGGAAGGTAGGGAACAGAAAGTAGGAAAGGGAAGGTAGGAAAGGGAAGGGAGGGAAGAGAAGGCAGGGAAAGGAGGGTAGGGAAGGGAAAGTAGGAAGGAGAAGGAAAAGAAGGGGAGGGAAGGCGACAAAGATGCAGGCTGATAACTGGCAGAGCACACTGCCTGAAATTTTGTCCAGTCAAAAAAGAGCCAATCCATTATTTTTACAAGGGTGATGATCTTAGCCTTGTGCCAACCCCAATAGGACCAGTTGGGGTTTAAGGGAAATTAGTATGGTAAGTGGATGACGATAGGGTAGGAGAGGAAAGACGGCAACATGGGAGGTAGACGGCAGCTCCCCGCTTTTGTGGACAGCACCATGTGCTCCCACCCACGTGCACACGGGGCCTGGTGGTTGAGATTTTTGGGAGTCCTTGCTGGGGGGATGTTAACAACCCACTCGTGGTCATGTTGTTAACAACTCACGATCCACCACCCACAATCCACCACGCACCATCCACCATCCACCTTCTACCAAGCACCATCCACCATCCACCATCCAGCAGCGTCCATCATCCACCATCGACCACCCACGATCCACCATCCACCAGCCACCATCCACCATCCATCATCCACCATCCACAATTCACAATCCAGCATCCACCATCCACCATCAACCATCCGCCCCTTAATTCTCCAACATGGCAGCATAGAGGGCGGGAGAGGAGGTAGGGCAGGGGGACAGCTGCACACAGTAATTACCCCCCTCCCTTTCTCTCGCCCCCCTTTCCTCCCACCATTATACTATACCCCCCCACACACGCTCCCTTATCCGCCATCTCACCAGCACTGCCTTGTCTCCAGCCCACTCCCCCCTTATTCTCACAATGCACGCAGGGGAGCATGAGAGACTGGAAACGAGTGGCAGGGCCGTGGCAGTCCAGGGGGACGGGGAGGAGGTAGGGCGGGGAGAGCTTTACCCCATAGCGCCCTGCCATGCTGTGCTGGAAGAGGTGGGAAAGGGTGGTGCATGTATGAGGATGGGTGGTGAGTTTCTGGGGAGTGAGGAGAGGTGCATGCTTTGGCATGGTGGCCCCCTGCCACGATTGCTAGAAGAGGTGGGAAGGTGCGGATGGGGTGAGGCTTTGAGGGGATGGGGTGGGGGTGGGTGCGATGGGGGAGGAGGGAGGGAGAAGCAAAGAGCATGGGGAAGCAAGAAAGGTAGGGCGGACCATCATGCATCGTTGCTAGAGTGTTATCCTAGTCGTTATCTTGACCAATCCCACGACGATGGGGTCACTGCTGGAGAGCAGTCGGGCGACACCAAGGTCCATCGCAGGCCAGTTGTGTTCCGCTACGAGGGCCTCACTGCCAGGGAACAGCACGCAAAGTACGCGCACACCTAAGGCGCGTGATGTGCTCTGCTCTGCTGCGGTCTCGTCAGCAAGCTCTTGCTGGGTGGGTGGTGTACTCCAGCTCTGTTGACCTGTGGCCCATGGCCCCATGCCGGTGATCTGCGCGTACATGACTTGCGCTACCCACTAGATCCCACTGCCTCCTCGCCAGCTGGCTCCTCCCAGCAGGATCAGGGCATGGGGGAGGAAGACAGTGGGGGAGAGGCGTGTGGCCAAGGCGTGAGAGGGGGAGGTGTTGGAAGGAAGCGTGGAGGGGAGGCACAGGCGGGAGGCGTGGGGAAAAGGGGTTGGGGAGCGGGTTGGGCGAGAGGTTTGGGGGAAAGGATTGGGAAAGAGGTTTAGGGAAGTGTTGGGAGAGAGGCGTGGCGGAGAGGGGTGAGGGTGGGGCGTGTGGAGAGTGGGGGAGAGGTGCGGGAAAGCAGGGCAGGGGAGACGGGTGGGTAGAGGCCGTTGGGGCAAGCGGGTGGGGGAGAGAGATGGGGGATAGGTGTGGGGGAGAGGGTTGGGGGAGAGGGGTGAGGGAGAGGGGTGGGGGAGAGGGTTGGGGAAGAGGGGTGAGGGAGGGTGGTGGGGAGATGGGTGCAGAGAAAAAATGGGCATTGTGGCTTGAAAAAATAACCAATCTTTGCGTCACATACCTCACCCTTTTTGTCCGAGCCTTCACCTACCCTCATCTCCCTTCAACCCCCCTATCTCCTCTTAAGCCTCCCATATCCCCATTATCCCATCGCCCCCCTCACCCATGGGTGCAGCCACTCGTGCATGCCCTGCGCCATCACCCCTCACCGCTCATCCCCAAATCCCCTCCTCTCCTCTTCCCCCCCTCTCTTCTCACTCACTCACCAGCAGGCGCGACCACTCACACATGTCCTGGGCTATGATGCGAAAGACGCTCAGAGGACGCTGCGTCCTGCGTCTGGACGCAGCGTCTGGACGCTAGGACGCAAGACGCGCGTCCAGACGCAGGACGCACATCGAAATTTTTTCGGGCTGCCCCGATTTTTTTTTTTTTTTCCAGATTACGAATTTCAATCTTGCGATTTCGACGCGATACGATACGATAAACTATGTATGTATGTGACCTTGGGACATGTGTGTGTGTGACAATACGTGACTCACCTTAATCTTGAGATTTGGGGGAAAATTTAATGTTGGGGCCAAGTTTGCCTTGAAAGTGTGGAACGTTCCCCCCCCCCCCCCCCCCCCCCCTCATCCCATGCCCTATAACAAGTTTTTTTGCCTGCCCGGGGGTTTTTTTGCCTGCCCGGGACTGCGTCTTTTGGTGCGTCTTTCTGGTCCTGGTGAAGCGTCCTGCGTCCGGACGCATGCGTCTGGACGCATGCGTCCAGGACGCAGGACGCGTCTTTCGCATCATAGGTCCTGGGCCAGCTTGCGCAGCACCACGCGGTCTGCTACTGCTGGCATGCGGCTCTCACACACCTGGCGGGGGGAAAAACGGGGAGAAGGGGGAGGGGGGACAAGTATGGATCAAGCACACTCATGCATTTGGCATGAAGCCAGACCGCATTGGAACAAGAGAAAGCCCTGGAGGAGCAAGGAGATTAGAAGAGGAGTAAGGAGAGTAGAAGAGGAGCAATGAGAGTAGAAGAGGAGCAATGAGAGTAGAAGAGGAGCAATGAGAGTAGAAGTGGAGCAATGAGAGTAGAAGAGGAGCAATGAGAGTAGAAGAGGAGCAAGGAGAGTAGAAGAGGAGCAAGGAGAGTAGAAGAGGAGAAACGACAGTAGAATAGGAGCAAGGAGAGTAGAAGAGGAGCAAGGAGAGTAGAAGAGGAGCAAGGAGAGTAGAAGAGGAGCAAGGAGAGTAGAAGAGGAGCAAGGAGAGTAAAAGAGCAGCAAGGAGAGTAGAAGAGGAGCAAGGAGAGTAGAAGAGGAGCAAGGAGAGTAGAAGAGGAGCAAGGCGAGTAGAAGAGGAGCAAGGAGAGTAGAAGAGGAGCAAGGAGAGTAGAAGAGGAGCAAGGAGAGTAGAAGAGGAGCAAGGAGAGTAGAAGAGGAGGAAGGAGAGTAGAAGAGGAGGAAGGAGAGTAGAACTTAGGAAAGGGAATTTGTAAAAAAAAAGATCGGCAAGGTCGCATCAGAGTGGCGCAGCGGAAGCGTGGTGGGCCCATAACCCACAGGTCCGAGGATCGAAACCTCGCTCTGATAAGGCTATCACCCCCAACGGGGCTGTTTTGTTTATGCTAAAATGTATTTGTTCTTCAGTTCCCAGAACAGAATCGTGGTGCGAGGATGGCTGTAAAGTTGTGATGCACACCACGCATGTACAACCACCATGGATCTCCCACCCACGCACTCTATCCTCGAGTTCTGATATTGGGAACCCTCCAAAACGTCTGCCCATTCATTCCTTCAAAAGCATTATATATCCTACTACACTGCATATCTTCTTTTTTTTCCCTACATACCCATCCGTTACAGGTGAAGGAGGTGTTTTCTCTCCCATGTATTCCTGTAGGCGCCAGTAGAAGGTAGCCAGAAAGGCCGAGGCCGCATGGGTGCGTTTTTATATTGTAGAACATTCATACACACACGCATGCAGAAATGAATACGAAGAGTGAAGGCGACCCATGAGGAGGAAAGGACTGCATAGGGTAGTAGTGTGAAGTCACACACGAGTCGAAATGAACCCTATGCTCCTTCATGGTTCATTCCGACTCACGAGCCGTGAAGGACACAAACAAGGGGATGGGAAAGTTGCTGACAGAGTGAAAAGGAACCTCAAGAACAGCGAGCGAACCAGAGAGAGGAACCAGAGGAGTCAGGCAAGGGAGGAGATGATCAGGTTGGAGAGGTACACAGAGGGGCTGGTACAAAGGTGATGTTGTACATCAGCCACATGAAGCGAGCTGAACGAGCAGAGCAGCCAGAAGGTCCCAGGAACAGCGATGGTATCAGAAAATGGTTTCTGAGAAGGGAATCGTCGTGCAAGAGAAAGGAGGTGAGAGAAAAATAAAAGTAGCAAGCAAAGACAAAGGGGTCTTATCTGTTGAAGTTTCTCCAAACAAAAAAAACCTTCATTGTATAAGCAGAATTTGACGCTCCCATCACACCTTTACATCAATGCAAGTAGGTAGGTGAGGGTTGCAAAACGCGGCAGTGAGGGATAGGCCAGAAGGGATCCCAAGAGTAGGAAGGGAGCAAGATACAAGGCTGCACGAGGATGCGGACCAGGAATGACGACGAGTCAAAGATCTCAGCTCAGCGTGGCATGAAATATGCAACCTCACCCACCGGATACACATCCTCACACTGGATAGAACCGAATCCATGATTGGTTGCTTCCGTGGCTTGTTTCTCCTTACCACAGCCAGGCGGGGTGAGGGAAGACGGAGTGAGCACACCACGCGGGATCTGAAATTATAGTGCAAGGGAGAAGACAAATGGTGGTGAGTCCTATACTATGAGTGAACAAAGGGGCTCGTGGCCTGGCCGTTTGAGGTGCACTTTGAGTAGGAAGATTCCTGAAGTAGACTCGCACGCAACTCGGGTCAGCTTGAGACCATGGGGCTGATAGAAAACCAGAGCATCTCGGGCTGTGCTGGTTTTCTATTACACACTTTCCAAGCCAAATCGCATGCATTCAAGACCTCAGTTTCAAAGATTTTCCGTTGGTTGAGGTTGGCGAGGAGCGTAAGACATGCTAAATCCATCCCCTGACCTGGAGGACTACCCCCGGGGGGAGTTTAGAACGAGGTGGCTCATGAGTCGCAAGGCTGGGGCGAGCCTGGCAGCTTGGTGAGAGCCTCCTTGGCCCGGGCATTAGATTCTTACCAGTTTAAACCACAAGCAAATGCACTCCTCAAATGTGAGTGGAACGCATTTGCAGGTCGAGTCAACGTTGATTTGCGAGTTGATTCGAGCCGGATAGCCGAGTTCGGTAGACCGTAGAATCGAAATTTGACTCGAATCGGGTCAAGGTTGGTCGACTCGTTTTGGCACATTGGCCCGATATGACAAAAAGTACGAGCAAAACGATTTGTAGGCTGCGAGCCAGGCTTGCAATCCGGAAGGCCTACTGGGACAGCTATAGGATGGCTTACCTCTTCTCGATGTGCCCCCATGCCGCCCTGCCCCATGCCGCCTTGCCCCATGCCCCCCTGCCCCATGCTGCCCTGCCCCATGCCGCCCTGCCCCATGCCGCCGTGCCACATGCTACCTTGTCGATTGAGTGCCACGCTGCCCTGTCTCTGCAGCACACGCTGCTGCTGCTGCTGTCAAGGCTGCGCCGCCCGATCGCCACACTACACTGATGCTGTGAGTGCAATCCACGCTGCTGCCCACCATGCCACCACCACCGCCATTATGGGCAGTCGCGGTGCTGCCATGCTGCGCGCACTGGGGGAAGCCCAGGGAAGAGGAGGTGGGTGTGGGCATGATCACGCCCGTGAGAATGGCATCCGTGAGTGCTGCATCAGCTGCCAGCAGCCGTGCTCGCCCCTCCTCCATGCTCGCGCTCCTCCCAATCATGCTGCCTCTGCTTCCCGTGCTTCCCATGCTGCCTATGCTGCCTGTTCTTGTTGCTGGCCGCCACAATTCCTCCATGCCTGGGTGCCCCTGTCCCCTTCTCCCCCCCCCCCCTCCTTCGGCCTTGTGCCTGCGCGCATGTCTGTATTGATCAAACTGCCGCTCATGCTCCCTCCCGCCCCTTCTCCCCCACCTTCTCCCCCCCCTCTTCCCTCTCCCCCCCCTCTTCCCTCTCCCCTCCCTCCCATTCTCCTGCCCATGCTGCCCTCGAGTCGTCTCCCAGGGGCAGTAGTGTAGGGGAGGCGCGCAAAAGAGGAGCTAATGCTGCTAGTGCGAGGCGTGCGGAGGAGAGGCTGAGGCAACGGGCCTGACACAGGCAGTGGGGGGAGAAAGAGGGGAGCCAAGGCGCTGGTGGGACGAATGTGAGAAGCAGAGAAGAAAGTGGTGCTGCGGATACTGCAGACACGTGGTGTCATATGGCATTGCGTGGGGGACAGCCACAGCAGTCGCACATGCGCGAAACACACCTAAGGAGCAGGGGAAGAGCGACATCTAAAGCAACGTGCTGGACACTCCCCCCCCCCCCCCCCCCCCCCCTCCCCCAACCATCTGCACCACCACGGCCGCCAGTATCCGCGTCCCCTCTGCTGCTCTTGACTCCTCATTCCTCCTCCCTTTCCTCGCCCGCTCCCTCTGCTGCCCCCTCCCATGCTCGCTGCCTCTCACTCCTCCATCTGCCTGCCCCCACTTCACCCTGCTGCTCCACTGCACCCGCCGCCAGTCTACCTGCGCTGCCCGCGGCGCTTGCGTCGCCCAGGCGCGGCCCCAAGAAGGAGTAGAAGGCGGGCACGGGTGCTGCAGGGCTCACTTGGGCGGGCGGCGGCACGGAGTGGTGCGACAGGGAGAGCAAGGGGTAGGAGGGGGGATATGGGGAAACAAGGAGGAAGGGGAAGCGGGAAGGAAGGGCAAGAAAAGGGGGGTTTGGGGGGGAAGAGAAGGAAGGTGTGATTAGGGCAGTGGGGGCGGAGAGAGGGGTTGGGAGGTGCAGACACGAGTGTGGCTGCCCCTCTCCCTTGCGCTCTTTTCTTCCCTCTCCCATCATCCTTCCCCATCCCCCTCATCTTCCCCCTTCCCCTCCCCTCCCTCTCCCTCCTCCCCACTGTCCACGCCCAGTGCTGCCAGCCACCGTAGCGCCACCGCCGCCGCCACCTCCCGTGCCCACTCGCCCTCCCCCTCGCTCGAACAAGTTGCCAAGGGACAAGGAGCGGATGGGGGAGTTACCCACTGGATATACTTGAGGCGCAGGGGAAGCACTCAACCTTACAAATAAGCCCCACAGGCGTTGCACGAATAGAGCAGGATGGGGAGCGAAGTGGGTGCCGTGGGCACGCGACAGGGACTGATGCTGCGAGCAACGCGGACGAGAATAGAGCAGGATGGGAAGCAGGGTGAGTAAAGTGGTTGGTGAGACGGAATGGTTTAAGAGCAACAAAGAGCACGGATCTAGGGTAACGTCTTTATGCAGAGCGATTGCAATGGGGAGCAGAATGCGGGACGCGGGGAGGCGAGGGGCTTTCGAGGCGCCAAAAGAAGCGCGAAGAGAGCGGGATGGGGAACGGAGTGAGTGGTGCGGGGAGGAATCTTGTCGGATCGACCTACGTGCACACTGAATCCCCCTCGTTCCCTCCTCTCCCCTTCAACAATGGTGATTTCCCATCCTACCTGCAGCAAGGTTTTTGTCGGACCAATCCACTCGCACATCGATTGTGGTCCCCTCTTTCCCCCTTGCGTGCAAGTCTGCGCCTCAATGGATCAACCTGCGAGCAGTTATCTCCTAATGCGAGCAATAGAGGGACCCCAGTTCAAGTGAGTGAACTCAGTGCAATAGACCCCACTGCGACTGCGACTTGCCTCAGCGACAGACCCCACCCCAGTGAGTCAGACCTCAGTGCGACAAACGGCAGTGCGACAAACTTTAGTGTGACAGACGTCACAGATCCAGCGCGCTGCCTTGTGTGGAGCGACAGTCGCATCGTCATGCCCAAGTTCTTCCAATGAACAGCACAAAAACAAGACAAAGAGGGTGACCACTAGGCAATTAATAATACGTTATCAGAGTTATCGCTGTGCTTTGATGTGACGTCGCACTGTGAAGTGCAAAACAATACTGATACAAAAAAAAAAGTGTAACATAGACTAGTACAGTTTCCTCAGCAAACCCATCACACCACAAACGAGCTCGTGCTCAGCAGGAGTCGAACCTGCGCGGGCAGAGCCCAACAGATTTCTAATTTGTCCCGATAACCACTCCGGCATGAGCGTCTATACTCCCTACAACTGGACCATACTCCCCTCACCAGCCCATCTCCTTCTCCTTTTGCTCAACCCTGGGAACCCAGTTGCCCTGCCTAACCTCGCCTCATCTGCTCGTCCTCGAAAACTGACGGCATGCAACAAGCTTGCTAGTGGTGACTTGCTGGTGAACCATCCTTAGACTACGTTCCTCTCACCACCTACCGCCTTCTCCCGCTGCTCTACCCTGAGATAGGACATGACCACAAGGAAAACAGCAGGCCCACCTAGCCTTGCCTCACCCGTAATCTGTTCGTGACCCACTATTGACAAACAAGTTTCAAACAGCCCAGCCCACCACCCCTCACTCACTCCCGAACGCACCTCCTCCTCCCTCTGCTCGTCACTCCTAAAAACCGCCACGGGGGACCCAGCCGCCCCTCCCACCAGCTTCGCCTCACCCGTGATCTACGAGTGACACAGATGCATCATACAGCCCAGCCCACCACCCCTCGCTCACTTCGGACGCACCTCCTCCTCCCTCTGCCCGGCCATCCTCAAAAACCGCCACGGGGAACCCAGCAGCCGGGCCTCACCCAGCTTCGCCTGCAGCCTCCCGTGCAGCTCTGCCATGGCAGCAACCTCTTCTTGGGTGAGCAGTGCGCCCGTGCCGTGGGTATGGGGGAGTCCGTGGGGCAGAAGATGGCGTGGGAGAAGCAGGTGCGGGGCTGAAAGGGGGAGGGTGAGAGGAGCGGGGGGGAGGGTAAACAACACAGTGGCTTATGAGGGGATTGTGGGAGGCAGTACCGTAGGAGCGTGGTTTCAGTAGGCCAGAAGTGGGTGTAGGAGAGGCAGGTGTGAAGCTGGTGAAGAGAGGAGTGGAGGAGGAAAGAAAAGAGGGTAAGGGTGGTGAGAGGAAGGTGCGGTGGAGCCCTGGAAGGAGTGCACTTGGAAGCCCGCGGGTTCCCTGTGAACAGTGCGCCCATGTTGCAGAGGTGGGGGATTTATGGGCCAGAAATCGGTACGTGAGAAGCAGGTACTGTGCGGAGCTGGTGGGGACACGGCAGGAAGGGATGGGGGAGGTGGGAAGGGGAGAGGAAGGGACAGCGCGTGGGCGACGGAAGTGGCAGAAGTCCGCGGGCCACACATGGAGTAGGAGGAACAGGTGCATCATAGCTGGGGGGGGTGGGAAGAGAGAGGCGGAGCGAGAGGGTATGGGGAAGGGAGGGGATAGCGCCTGGGAGAGCTGAGCGGTGTGCCCGTTGGGGCGTGTGTCTATGAGTCTGTGTAGAAAAACTAGGTGCGGAGCTGGAAAGGAAAGGGGAGAAGGGGTGAAAGAGGTCAAGGGAAAGGGAAGAAGTGGGAGGAAGTGATAGTGCCTTTGTGAGTAATGTGCTTGTGTGGTAGGGGCAGATGTCAGGGGCACACAAGTCGATGTGGAATACACATTCACGGGCATTATCCAGCCTGTTAACTCCCCCCAGGTCCCTTCCACCCATTGGTGACACCCATCGCATCACCTATGACCTCCGCCCGCCCCAGCAGCAACCCCTCCTTCACCCCCCTTCAGCCCCCCCCCCCCACTCCTTTCACAAACCCCCACTCACCGTCCCCTTGGCCAACTTTCACACGAATACCCACCCCTCACCGCTCTGACCTGTGGGGTTGGCGATATATCCACCGTACCACCGCCCCGCCATCTTCAACACCAAACACATCCTCTATAGCCTCCGCCAGCCCCATCAGCAGTCCCCATTCCCCGCCCCCTCGTGAGCGCTCTCTGCAGCGCAAACGCTCACAGAGCTGGGTTGGAGAGGGGGGAAGAGAAGAAAGGAAAAGGGGCAGTGGCTAATGAGAGGGATGTGAGTGACAGTGCTGTAGGGATGCAAACCTGTGGGCCGGAAGTCCCTAAAGGAGAAGCAGGCGCAGAGATAAGGGGAAGCGGAGAAAGGCGGGGAGCAGTGCTTTGATGAGGAGGATGCGGGCAGGGAGGGAAGCGGGAGACAGTTCTAAAGAAGCGTGAATCTGAAGGTCCGTGGAGGAGGAGCAACGGAGCTTTGGGGGGGAAGGGAGAAGGGGGAAAGAGGGTCAAGGGAAAAGGCGAAAATGGTAGGGAACGCAGTGAATTAGCGAGAAATGTCATGTGTGGTAAGGGCAGAATTCAGGGGATCAAAATGCAGTGTGGCATACACACATGCGGGGCTGAGCGGATGAGATGGGGGGAGGTTGCAATAGGGAGTTGGTTGGGAAGACGTAATTGGAAATTTAAAAGGAGAGGAGGTTTTTGCAGGGGGGATGGGGGGATGAGATTCACTCTTGGCTGCAACCATCCTTTCAGCTCATCTATGCTGCCCATCAACTCCCTCCACTCACATCAAAGCCATCCCAAAGCCACTCACAATGACTCCTTGCCAACTCTTCACTGACTCTCAGCAACTCTCGCCGAGATAGCTATTCAACTGCCCCCTTCCCACCGCCACCCACGAGTCGCCCGAGTGGTTCCTACACGCATATCCCCCGCTGCGCAGTGCGCACCGACTTCCAACCAAGCCCCTACATGTTTCTAACCTTGGCGATTTCTAGCTTGTCAACTGCTGCCACCAAACAAGCCCCCAGGCGTCTTCTATGGCCTCTGCCAGCCCTGGAAGCACCCCCTCCCCCCCCACTCTCCCCCCCCCTCCCCTTTTCCGTCCCTTCTCCCCCCTTCCTCCCCACCCCTTCTTCCCACTCCTTCCCTCCTTTTCACTGCTTCCTCAAGTGACACCCACACACGTCCCTACCTAACAATCCCATCACCGACTCTCACCTTTGACATACAAGTCCATCCGAAGTTACAAGGGGAGCTGCCGTGCTGCCATGTGAAGCTCGGGATCTGGATTGTACTTCCCCGTGTGTGATTTCGACCACAACTATCTTGACCCTGTGGGGGAGCAGAGAAGCGGGGATTGAGGACAAGATGAGCGGAAAAAAGGGGAGAGGGTGACGGGGGGGAAGGGGGGAGAAGCAGAATGGGAGAGACAAGGTGGAGCATTAAATAGGGACAGAGGATCCCAGAGAACCAATCGCAGCGACAGTACCTGTAACACGTGGATGGCAGAATGACGCCTCAACAACATGTGCCATGTCGCATGCGACAACTGTACCTCCTGAATCTGTCCGATCTTCCCCGCACCGGCATCCCTTCGCCTTTTGCTTCATGCATCATAAAATGTCCAATAACCCATGTCTGTCACGTCAGTGGTAAATATCCTTAATCTAAGCACCGAACAAAACGTCTAGCTGCTGCGACGCCATGCGGGGAATACAGCGAAACACAGAGCTGCAGCTTATCATCAGCATTACTCCGTCCTTGCAACCCTCCCCACGAAATCCACGATATCTTCGACGCCTCAGAGGAAAGCCTGAAACAGACCGAGGCAGCCTCGCTGCACCGCCTGATGCGGCCGAGTCGCCATCCTATTTCAGAAATCCCGCGAATGGGTGTCGCGATTTGCCTGAGCGGGCAACAGGGACCGCCGAAGGAAGGCTGCATCACTTGTGCGGCATCGCACAAGCATCACCAGCCGCAGCAGCAGCAGCAGCAGCAGCTGCGCGCCGTCTCGGCGCGAGGCGGGAGTGCGCAGCAGCATTTGCAGCAGCAGCGGCGGGAGCTGCACACCGAGCAAGGCGGGAGTGCGCGGTGCGTGGAGAGCGATGATCGTGTCAGGTGGACTCGAGTCTGAAATGCCGCAACGTAGCAGCAGCTGGCGACATGGGCACGACGACGGGTCCTTGCTGTAGCTGCTACTTGAAAATTATGTCTATTGGTAGCTATTAAAGGATAGAAGGGGCTAGTGATGGAACTAATGGCTATAGATAGAGCGAGTGCACATGGAAGATTGGAGTGATGGCGACGAAGATGCTGGCGATGATTCCACCAATGCGGTGCGGACGGAAAAGCCGGTACGGTTCCATGTACAGCTACTGGAAAGCGCCATCGATTGATTTTTCATGCTTGAGGGGGTGGACTCCAGAAAGTGAGCTAGGCACTGAAGGTTCAAAATTAGGGTTGGAGGCTGTAATGAACGAACAGAGAACTGGAAAGTACGAGATGTGATTTACAAGGGCGTGTCTCTTTTTTTATGTTCCATGTTTTTTGGGACCTACACAAAGACTTGCTGAGCTAATTCCCGTTGGCGAGGTTCGGGGAAGGGCGCGATCGAAAGGTTTGGAGGCGACACGAGTCAGCTTCGGTTTTGTCAAATCCGCCGAGCCTGATAAGCGAATCCGGTAACCCCTAAAATGTCGCCACCGAATCAAAAACCAAACCGAACGCACAGACCGAAGTTTAAGTGTCCCAAACCAAAACCAAACGAACATCCTTTGCTTCGGCACGGCAAAGCCGGAGCAGCTGTGTCAGCCTGTGGCTAGCTTTTTGTGAACTCGGTTCGGAACCTCGCAACTTTCGGAGCTTCGCACATGCAGTAACGACATGAATGAAGTCTGTAACCCTATAATGATTGCTTCCACCAGGGCGAACCAGATAACAATAAAACCCGCTCTCTCCTATATCGTCTTTGGGAGCCGATGATCAAGCGGAAAGCTAGCTAGAATCCATCCACTCGCGTTCGAGCATTTTTCATGTTCGAGGCTTAGTAGGCTCTGCTGTGCGTTGTCGGTATATTTTGTAGGCGCCTAAAAATTGCTCGCTGTGCGTCGCCGTCGGTTCTATCAGGTTCAGTCGTCGTGATGGGTGCTTTGAGCTATAGGCTCGGCGCGCTTATGCTCTCCGTGCAGTCCGCAGTGTGACTAACCCCCTCCCAAGGTCCGTTTAGTCCATTCCTGTCGCCTGACTGAGTGTGCTGATGTATCGCCATCATTTCGCCGCCGTTGGCCTTGTCGCGCCACCATTTTCGAGATGTCACGGCCATTGCGCTGTGTCACGCCCCCGTTTCGCCATGTCGCGCCGCCATTTCGCCAAGTCGCACCTCCGATTTGCCTAGTCACATCGCCATTTCGCCTTGTCACGCCGCCATTTCGCAGAGTCACGTCGCCATGCACCATGTCGAAATTGGCGAGTTACAGTTTGCCCCCTCCAAGAGTCGCTCAGCGACAGCATGCGTCGTTTGGCCTCTGCCTCACTTCATAAGTGGCATCTTATTTTATCGAGTGAAGCTCACAACTATTGCGCATTCGGATCGTTTGAAGTGTTCGGCGCCCATTGCGAGGTTCAGGTTTAAGTGTCCACGCCCTTCGTGATAGCCTCACCACGCTTGTTACATTCAATCTGCGAATCCCTAGCAACAGGCCTGCGGTAAGGCCGGTCCTGTCATTCCATTCTATTCGGCTTGCATGTCGGAACTACCCTCACTTTCCTCTTTTCGCCGATGCTTCCGTTGATGCGCCGTTATAGTCCCCGCCCTTATCGCATCTGCGTATCATCGGACATCATCATCTGGCCGCTCGCGATTGCCACATCAGCAGCAGCGTCTGTAGTGCGCCCGCACCGCTTCGTCGCCGCGCGTGTGTACCTGCCATCCAACCCCTTCACCGCATCCCACCCTGCGGACTCCACCGCTATATTTTCCGCTAAATCCGCTGGTTGCTAGAATTCTCAGGTACCAGAGTCGCCCCCGCGCAGCCCTCCAGCCCTCCCCCCCCGGCTGCGCTGATCCGTGCGCTACTGCCTGCGCAATGCGCGCTCCCCATGACCGCCTCCGTGCGCCATCAGCCCCATGGGCGTACGTGTGGGGGTGAGCAGCAGGGGGGCAGTCTGAGAAGGGGGACGGGTGAGACCAGGCCTGCACGATGGCAGCGGCAGGTGAGAAGGGTTAACGGCGGCGGCAGGTCTCAGTGCCTTCCACGGCGACCTCTTCCTGTCGCTGTCTCACACCACGGCAGCTGCTGGCGGCGATGTTGGTGGTAGTGTTGCTGGTGGGTGGTTGCCGTGTAGTAGTGGTGACGGAAGTGGTGGCGCTGGTGCTGCTGGTGCTGCACGTGTCGTGCTGCACGTGTCGTGCTGGCCGAGGAGGGGGGACAGCGGTGGGGAGCTCGCAGTGGTAGTTTTCCGCCTGCCACCATCACACAGGCTCGCCCACTGTAGCCAACAACACAAGGGCATACAATGCGGCAAAGCCAGTGACAGGCGCCATGAGTGGGGAGAGAAGCAGGCGGAAGCTGCTCAGGGTCAGTGTGGGAAATTGCTTCCTACAAGCGTGTGCGAGGGGCGCAGGAGAAGCGGGCGGTGGTGATGAGAGGTGAGGTCGGCGGTGACAGGGTGGGGCAGGGGGAAGGCGATGACAGGGCGCTTGGGGGGGGGCCAGGGCGGAGAAGCGCAGTGGCACGCGCAGAGCCCCACCATGCCGCTGCAGTGCCGTGGGAGGAGAGGGGCGGAGCCCCGCCATTCCACTGCAGCACTGTGGGTGGGGAGGAGCGCTCGATGGCGCCGCTTCTCGTAGTGGTGGGCGGGAACAGCTTGTCCAAGGACGCGTGTTAGCAGACAGGTAGACGTTCGCAGGGAACTTGCTCGAGGGGCGCGCCCACTGGCGGCTGCGCCGATAGCAGAGTGCGTGCGGTGATGCCGGCGAAGTGGCAGGGACGCGGAAGAGGGAAGGGCGCGGGATGTGTTTGCCAGGGTTCGGGTGCGGAGCAGGCTGGCGAGGGTGGAATAGTGAGACAGGCGGGGCAGAGCTGGGCAGTCAACAGTGGGCGCACTGTCGGGGCCAATGCAGCTGCAGGGTGGTCGCCGCCTGGAATGGAGCAGCAGCTGCAGCCATGGTGGTAGCAGCAAGGGTGCAGCAGAGGCAGAGTACGGGGGAGCGTGAGCAAAGGCAGGGTGTGTTGCGGGGACTGAGCGGCGGTGGAGAGGCATGGGAGGAAGCGGCGGAGGTGGATTCACGGCTGACGCAGTCGCTGTTGGGGAAGGTGGATTCCGCGCCCCTGTCCCTGTCCCTGTCCGTTCCCCCGCACCAGTCTCACTCCGTCAGCGCAAGCCACGGTATTCCGTCGCCTCTCACCTCCCCGCTCCCCGCCTACCCCTCCCCCCGCCCCCACTACCCTCATCTCGTTTTCCGTCTCCTTCCCTCCCCTCTTCCTTGCCCTTCCTCTCGCTTTCCCCGTGTCTCTCCTCCCCCCCATTCCTGTCGCTTCGGTGTCATCTCAGCCGCCTGTCGTGCTCCTTGCTCTCCCTGCCACGCCAATCCGTGCCACCGTCTCGCAGCACCCGCACCCGCTGACTGCTCCTTCTCGGGGCTGTTTCGCCTGGGCTTGCAAGCACCATGGGCAGACGGGCGGCCGGCGCAGTGGAGCGGCAGGGTGAAGGAAGGGTAGGAAGAGAGAAGAGCGATAGCCAGGTAACGTGGGAGGGGGTAGCAGGGGTGTTGGGCGAGGGGAACACGCATAGTGGCGGCGGCTGTGGTGGCGCAGATGGTGGCAGGGGTTGTGTCCAGCACGTTGCTTCAGAGCGGCCGCCCTCCCCCTTGCTCCTTGGGTATGTTTCGGTATGCGTGCCCGCAGTGACTGTCCCCCATGACATGCCATCCGACACCACTTGTCTGCTTCTCACATTCGTCCCACCGGCTCCTCGCCTCTCTTCTTTCTCCCTCCACTGCCCGTGCCAGGCCCTTCGCCCCAGCCCCTCCTCTGCACGCCTCACCCGCAAAAGCAGCACCAGCTCCTCTGCTGAACAGCCCCGAAGGGACGACTTGGGGGCAGCATGGGCGGGAGCAGAGGCGGAAATACAGGCGGGAGCGCAGGTGGGAGCATGGGAAGGGGTGGGGGGGGAAAGGGGGGTTTGGGGGACCTTGGGTCAGAACATGGGGGGGAGCATGAGCGGCAATTTGATTGATTCGAACATGAGCGGAGAAGGTGGGAAAGCAGGGGCGGAGAGACAGGGTCAGGCATGGAGGGAGTGCGGCGGCCAGCAACAGGATCAGGCAGCACAAGCAGCACTGGCAGCATTGGCGGGAGGAGCGCGAGCATGGATATGGCGCACTGCTGCTGGCAGCTGATGCCATTCCCACTCACTGATGCCTCCTCCTCCCTGGGCTTCCCACAGCACTGGCACCATGGTAGCACCGGCAGTGACGGTGGCATGGTGGGCAGCAGCGTGGAGTGCAGTCACAGCATAAGCGTGGTGATGGGGCACGTCCGCCTTGAGAGCAGCAGCAGCAGAGCGGTGCTCCAGACCAGAGACAGGGCAGCGTGGCTCTCAATGAGGCAGTCAGGCATGGAGGCTTTCAATAAGCCTCGTGCCTAGAACACTTTGGAGGGATCCCCTTTTGAACGAAAGTGCACTGCTTTCCCGGGTGTGATGCCATCAGCTCTCCGCCACTCACCCTCCCTCCCCCGACGTCCCTAACTCTCACACCAACTCCCCCATTCGCCCCCACATCCTTCCCCCCCCCTTTTTTGTGTCAAATAACAACTCGACCAAGCCTGAGTAAACCTCACGATTGAAAATAGCACTTGGAAGGTGGAATGGTTCCACCTTGATCCTCCCCTTCCCCATCCAAGTTCCACCAGTTTTAAAGAAACAAACGGTGGAATTGGAGGTTCTCGCTGTTGCATTTGGCATTGTTGGGGGAATTGCCGTGGCGGCAGAAAGGATTAGGAAGGGTGTGGGATGCGCAGGGAGGCGACGTGGAGCCGGAGAGAGAGGGTGGAGGAGGATGTGGTGACTTCGCGCTTGCAAAGGATTCAGGGTTGCCAGGGCGAGGTGGAACGGGAGAGGGTTGGGGGGACCGGGGTGTCGCTACAGAAGAGATTGACTTGCACGGAGTTTTGCAATATTTTTGCAAACCTCCTTCCATCCCCCCTCTCCCCGTACCCAACCCCCCTCCCCAATTTCAATTCTCTTCTCCCGTAATCCAGCAGCCCATTTCGTGGTCTTGACTCTTCTTGGACTCCTTACTGGTAAGAAAGGGTCTTACCCACACCTGCCTATGTCAAACGAGGATGGTCAGACACCAAGTGGGGCTGAACCCGAACCCACCCGACCCGGAATTTATCAATCCTGGCTGGCTCTTGGCCTGACCAATCTGGTCGGCTGAATGTGGTCGGCACATGGTTTGATTTGGATCGGGGCGGCTGGAGTTCTGCCCAATCTGAAAGTGTGTTATCGGCCATGTTAAAAAAGAAATGAAATGGACGCTAAAGTGTTAGAGAAGGTGCTAGAGCAGAGGAGGGGAGCAGGAAGAACTAGTAAGCTCAAGTTGGAGCTCCAGAATGAGCTCTAACCTCCCTCTTTTGCCTCTCAGAATGTGTTCGCACGGCTCGGGTTGTGTGTGTCTCTGCAAGAGTTTTGCAGCAAACTGATGGTGATGACCCGCCTCGGGTTCGTCCCACTCGTGTGTCAAACCTGCAGAATTGGTTGAGTTCGTCCCAGGTAAGTGTGTCAAACCCGTTCAACCCGGGCCGGTTCGTTCGGCCCGAGTCAAAGCCGGGCCGGTTCGATATGGGTTGACAAGGCACAATGAGGATGAATCGGCACAAGCAGCTGACCACCCTCCTGAGCGATCATGTCAGGTGTCGTACAAATCCTTTCGACCTCCCATCCCCTTTCTTTTCTTTCCTCCCCCTCCCGTTCCTCCATCCTCCATTTCCTCCCTCTTTGTCCCCCTCTACTGTCAGCAGACGGTCATAGTGTAGTCGTATGAGATACAGCTCATTCAAACGGTCGTGCCCGTCACTCTACCCCAGCGCACTGTCATTCATCTTCCTTCTCCTTGTTGTCATTCATCCTTGTAAACCTCATTGACCCCATTCACCCTCTACATAAACCAGCTGTCCCCATCTCAGGTGCTCCCCCTCTGCCCGCCATCACCCTCCCATGTGCTCCCCACCATCCCAGCGAATCAGCAGCACCATAGCCATCACACCCTCAGGCACCACCTCTCGCTCTCTCCCACATCACCTGCACCTTGACCGCCTGCTGTCACCCAATTCTCTCCCCCCCCTCTCCACCACCCCCTCCGCTCTTTCCTCGTAAGAAATAGATTTCTTGCATTGCCCTGCCCCACCTTATCTTTCCCTTTCCGTATTTCAGTGCAGCTGCTTCTAGCAGCCGCCTTCCCATGATGGTATTGCATGCAGGGAGGTGGGGCTGGTGGGGATTGTAAGCTGGGGGAGTTGGTAGTTGGGGTTCGGGCCGAACCTGGCTGGACTGGAATGGCCGGAATCAACATTGTGTGTTTGCAGTGTGTCTTTGTGAGCCATGTGATGCTATCTTTGTGTGTTCTAGCCAGAGAAGAAGATACCACGGGACAGCTATGTATCCATTCCTCATCCCATATCTCGTTTTATCCTGCGCTTTCTACTATACTATTCCCAAGAAGCACTTTCCTGCCCGTACCACATCCAATTGTCTGCCCTTCACGCCTTGCCAACCTTCGCTCTGTCCCAGCATAATCCCCGAGATGATTTCGTAGCCTTTGTCACCTACTTGGCACCCGCAAGAGAGTATCCATGTGTCCCTTTTACTTCCTTCCTGCCGCTTGCCTTCCCCCTGCTGCATCACCTGCAATATTCGTTCACAGCCATTGTCACCCTGCATCTCCTGCTGCCCCGTCCCCTCTTACTTCCCCATCAGTTCAATGATGGTTCATCCATATGCCCCTCATTGTATGCTTCATAGGCAAGGATGGGAGTGAGGGGAAACCAACTGAGGCATTGTCCCTCTTCTTTCTGGTTCACCCCTGCTCTGTCACAGCATCGTGCTTGCCACAAACCCCAAGGAGCACTATGTCTCCTATGGGTCTTACCGGTAGATACTGGTGTATTTCTTTGGAAATTATATGAATCTATTATTTTGAAATGTGGTACCGATAAGTGGTGTGGTCATTCGTAAGACCTACAATAGGATTGGATTGACAACAAATTTATCGTGGCTCACATCGCAGGCTGCACCATTAGCCAAGCCAACCAACTAGTCTTCCCCTGCTCGCGAAACAATTTCCGCAGGCACAAGTTCACGAATAAGCAATTTGCATTTCTTACAGGCTGGGTATTGTCAGAATGATAGGCAGGAATGAATGCATTGATCAGAGAAGTGGGTTCATATGCTAACCCTAATTTCGGTTTTACCCCTTATTGGCTACCCCACTACAGCCTACACAGCACAAGCATTATAATAGTTTGACACACCCCCATCGGCAAAGTGGGGGAGAGCAAGGGGTCACAAGACCAGTCAAGAGAGGCAAAGCAAGCTCAGGGTGGATCACAACGTCACCACACTCTGAGCACAAGCAAAGGGCCACAAGGCCAGTTCGCATGCAGAGATAAATATGCAACAACAGTAGTACAGTGATCTCTACCTAGCAGAACAAACAAGCAAGTATATATATATATATATATATCACAAGAGAAGCAGAGTCTACAGCAAGTGAGGAAACGTGGGCACAAGGCCCAACAAGGTACAAAAGCGCTGATGATCACCAGGCGGAAGTGCCTTGGTGAATATATCAGCAGTGTTGGCCCGAGTGGCCACGTAGGCAAGACGAAGCTGACCACGCTGCTGCAACTCTCGAGCCAGGAAGTAACGCAGAGCGATGTACTTCGTTCTGTGCTCCAGTCTATGCTCCTGACACAAGGCAATGGCGGCCTTGTTATCGACGAACAGCACTGGAGGAGAACGAGGCCGCTCTCCCAGGTCGGTCAGCAGGTAGGTGAGCTAGCGTAACTCCTGTGCAACCATGGCTGTGGCGTAGATCTCAGCCTCACAACTGGAGCCGAGAACAGAAGACGAGCGTGTAGAACGCCAGGAACCTGAACCAGAGCCAAGGCTGAAGGTGTAACCCTGTGACGACCGCTGAGTAGCCTGGTCGTCAACCCAAGAAGCGTCCGAGTGACCAGTGAGGACCACCTCACTCCGCCCTCCAAGCACAAGCCCCATGCCTGATGTACTGCACAAGTAACGCAGTACCCTCTTTGCAGCATCCATGTGCACCTTTCGGTGCTGACCAGGAGCCACGTAGCGAGCCAGAAGGCCAAGAGGGTACGCGAGGTCCGGACGAGTGCAGGTCATCAGGTACATGAGGCAGCCAACTAGCTCTGGGTAAGGACCACTCGGCTCTACGGACTCGTCCGAAGGTGGAGCTGAGAGCGAGTGACCTGTAGCCAGAGGAGTGGCCTGTGCCGAGTACCAGGTGAAGCCGAAGCGCTGAAGGACCTGCTGCACCATGTGTGACTGAGTCAGGGTGATGGTGCGGCGTGCTCTGTCCCGGGTGATCTGCAAGCCAAGGTAACTGCGCAGCTCACCCAGGTCTGTGCACGTGTGTCTCTTCTGCAGCCCCGACTTCACCAGAGTGAGAGCCTCAGTGTCGGCAGTGGCAAAGACCAAGTCGCCGACGTACACGAGGATGTAGAACGGCGGCAGTGAAGTGTCAGGGCGCAGAAACAGCGACGGGTCAGCAGTAGAAGGCGCGAACCCAAGAGCCGCAAGCGTAGTCCTCAGTGTGTCGTGCCACTCACGTGGCGCCTGGCGGAGACCGTAGACCGGCCGCCGGAGGCTCCACTCGGTACCAGGAGGGAACGACCCAGTGAAGCCAGGTGGGCGGCGCAGCCAGATCTCCTCGTGCAGGCTGCCGTGCAAGAAAGTTGTGTTGAAGTCAAGAGAGTGAAGCTCGTAGTCACGCTGAGCGGCAACGTGCAGCAGCACCCGAAGAGTGGTCATCTTCGGGGTGGGGGAGAAGGTCCGAAAGAAGTCTACTCCCTCTCGCTGACTGAAGCCTCGAGCAACGTAACAAGCCTTGAAGACAGGCGGAGAACCTGGCTGCCGCTTTACCCTGAAAATCCACATGCCACTGACGATGTTCGCCCCAGGAGGGGGAACCTCGTCGACGTAAGTGCCAGTGGACTTCCAGGATGCCATCTCTGCGTCCATGGCTGTTTGCCACTGAGAGGAGTAGGGACCCTCGATCGCCTCAGCGTACGATCGTGGAGTCGGGATGTCTGGAGCATCCGGGTCTCCCTCAGGGGCAAGCAGCATGGGCACGATGAGGCGCAGCGGCAG